TATTTAAAGCAAACTTATTACTGGAATTTAGTGAACATACTCCTGGATGTATCTGTCCCCTCAGAAGGATATTACTATATCGTATATTATCAGCAAGATATTGAAGCCATCATGAGCATGCTGCAAGAGTTCATCGCAGGAGGTAAAGGAGAATGACACTGATTCATTGAGACTGATTCACTTCCAAATTTTGAGAAGAGGCATGGGAGATGTTCTTCAATGTTAAGTAGTTTGGGGAAGGGGATACATTTCCATTTTATAAAGTAAACATCATGAGACAATATTAATTAAAAAGTCATAGTTGTTTTTTGTTTCTTTGCTTTTTAAAGTTAGAATCCAATTAAAAAAAAAGGACTAGTGGCTATGGAAGACCGAAATTGAAAAGGAAAGCACTCTGACAGTCAAATTTTTAAGGCAAGCTTAGTATCTTCAAAAGAAATAATGAGATTCCATAAACTGCTTCTGTCAAAGCAACATCAGCTGCTTCTAGCTATAATTACATCCTTTAATCCTTAATTCAATCCTCTATCAGTTTTCCCACTATTTTTCTTAGAACTGATACCAAGACAATCAGACTTAATTACTTAGCTTTTGTTCTTTTTAACATTGGCGTGGTACTAACATCTTTCTATTCTCTATCGAGTTTTCTTGGATCATATGGTTTTATTAAAAGACTGACCAAGAATAGCTGAGGGGAAGGATGTGTGTGTGTGAAATATCTCTGAGAACAGAGCACTGAATGAATCTTGAAATTACCAAATCTGTAACAGACAGAAGCAGGAATATAAAACTATAGCAAGAAGTGGAGACCTGGAAAAGACTAGTGAGACTAAACTTTCAAATTATTCTGAGAACAGTCACAAAGAAAAAAAAGGTAATCCAAAAATATTTGGTGCAAACATGATGTTTACTTTGCCGTATAAAATCCTATGAAGTACAAAACTATGTGAGCAATAAAGATAGAAGCCAGTGACAATCACTGAAATAAGCTCCTGTGGTTACTGCACATTTTTCACACATAAAATTAAACAGATTTTGATACAGATTTGCACACTTACAAAAAAATTCTCAAGGGAATCTGAAAATTTGAAGAACCTTCACTCACAACAGAAAAACTGGGAACATCTGAACATAAGAGATTCTGTACACTTTATATTGATCATCTCTTCATTTAAGTTTGTAATAGAAGATGACAAACTTCCATTAACAAAACTGTAATAACATGGTTTTTGTAGGAGCTCTAATACATTTTTTTTCTTCAACAAGCTCCCTGGAGAAGGGAGCATCTTTACCAAGAACAGAGACAGACTTTTCTAAGCTTTACTAACATAATAGTTTTCCTAACATAATAATTATTTTCCTGTTTTCCTAACATTTAGCTTTCCTAACATAATAGCTGGAAATGTAAGGTGTCTCATAACAGTCTGATGAAAGCTGAAGCAACCAGTATTTTGATGTCGATGCCAAATCAGTAGGCTGTTCTGTTTTAACATTAGAAATCAGTGTGACACCAAATGTAACCTCTGAATGCAATAGCAAGAATTTATGGTGTCAGATGCCTACTGTTCCCACTTTCCCCCTGGCATTGCTAGCAGAGATTTCATTATTATGAATATGCATTCAAGAGCTCACTCAAAAGAAATGCCAATTTAACACCAGATTTAATAATCTTCATTTTTCTAGCATATGACATACAAGAAACAGGCCAAGAACAAGATGTGGGACAGAAGTCAGTCTGTTCCTACTGTATATGAAGTTATCAACTACTTCTTAACCAGCTGAGCAACACATCCATCCTTAGCCATGGCACTCAACTGCTTTCTGGTTCTGCTGGTATTAGACCTTTATTTTAGTGGCAGTAAATGAAACTGCCACAGATGGTCATAATTTCTTCAATAAGTCCAGAATCTTAACAAAAAAAGTTTGATGATGTCTAAAGACTATGACCTTATGAAACGTCTCTTTGTTTTTAATAAATTATTCTCTAATGTACACTAAAACCATACAGTGACACTTCTTTTGAACTTAATTCTAACAGTTAAAAACATATATGATATCCATTTAGGTGACTCAAAACTGAATGTCAGACAACGCAATGTTAATATGTCACAATTCTTAATATTTTATTAAGAAATTCCAAAAGTAAGTGAAAACATCCCCTTTTCCCAGTGTAGACTCATTCATCCATAAATCTGCACTTTATTTGACTTTCTCTAAAATTTTGACATGAGACCCTTCAAATATAAAGCTCCAATGTTTCCTCAAATCTGAGAAAACATTGAACCTGAACTCAAATGGTTTGATTTTCATGTTCCAACTAATTGCACTTTGTTTCCTTTCTGTTCTTTCTTTTCATACATACACTTCTCTTCCCTCTAACCTTCTCACAAGCTTTCTTTTCTGATTATCCCTATGTCTACGTTCCTTCATTCCCCCCTTCAAGTAATAACATTACCTACAGCACATGAATGATGACTACAGCACTGTCTTCCTTAAGAAGCACAGCAGTATATTAAAATCAAAATAACTAAATATATTTCTAGCAGGCACACAACATGTAAATCCTTTATATGATCTTATTGCTGTCAGATTCAGTTTTTCTTCTTTTCTTCTCACCCACTCCATTAAAGAGTGTATTATTGCTTTGGTTGAATTAAGGCAATCCAAATAGCAACATAAAGCAACATAGACTGAGCCACAAAATTAAAAACTATTAAAGGAGTACAAGATAACTATAATTGTTTTTACCTGCCTGCAGAAACACCTGATTATGCTAATTGTGGTCTTTTTTTGCAGTTTTATATATCAAGGAGGGCAAAGGTATTAACACAAAAACCGCTCCGATCATAAGATCAGGTCATAAGACTCCAGGAGCTAAGCACTCATCTTTCCCATCTCTGATCTCTTGTTAAACTCTGATCCCAGTAATGCAAAACAAATGATTTCCAAGAGGTTTCAGGAATTCACAATTACCTAGCAATTCACACACTGAAAGCCTGATTGTACAATTGGGGTCTTTGTGTGCAGGAGACAGCAATACTGGTTTCATCACTGAATTACCACACACACGGACAAGTACACTTCAGACATCAGTTACAGTTAACACCCAGTAAACCGACTGACTTTATTTTTAAACATTCACAAAGAAATAAAAAGATTCTTTCAAGAACATGTTTGCTCTAGGTGTTTTATTTAAGGTCAGTTCCCATGTGTGTGCTAGAAATAGAAAATATTTCCAACTGGTCATTTTTCTGAAGTAAATGAAGTTTTATTTTCTTGGTACTTTATGTTCCCTGATAGAAGTAACACTGAAGTTATCACTGACAAAAAATAAAGTGGATATTTTTCATTCCCTCCATGCAAGCACTAGAAAAATCAAACCACAAGTTATATTAGACTGTACAAAAATAGAACACAATTTTACTTCTGTGAAATAAAAATAATTTGCCCTATATACCCCTTTTTAATTCAACAAGTTGAAACAACTTTCAAAGTAAAAATGTACCATTAATCTTTCTATCATATCAAGGTTTCTGAGTGCTAATTTAAACTATAAATTTATGAAATAATAATCTGAGATTCCTTCTTTTACTTCATAATCTATCTTTCTGAATACAGTCCTTAGTAGCATTCTATTCTAGTTGCCTTGAACATGCCGAGTTGTATTCACAACAGTGCCGGTATGATGACTATGATACCTACAGCCTCCTGTGCAATTCCAACTAGCCAGGTCAGCTCTCAACTAATATGGCATCACTGCAATTCCTGGGAATTTTATGGAAAATATGTTAAAGAATAAAGGAAAGATACTGAGAATCCATACCATGATCTGGTCCAAAATTCAGAAAACAAGAAAATAGAAGAAAACAACTCTGAATTAAAGAACATTTGTAGTATTCATTGAGTAAGGACAGCACTATTTTTAAGTATCAGATCATAATATTTGCCAAGTTTAGAAATATATTTTCAAATTTTAATAGCCAGGATTAGTGTATCATATGATATTTTTCCTCATCTCTTTTCCTTCCCTCTTTTTTTTTAAATAAATGTTTTTAAATCTCCATGCAATAAGAGACTCCCATATGTTACGGAAACAACAGTTTTAAAGAAGTCACCATATTAAATGTGCACCCAAGGGGTACCCAACAGAGAAGATCCATGATTACACAACCTTTGCCATCTTCTACTTTCTGAATTCTTAGTAAGTGTATCACTACTTTACACAATGGGATGAGAATAGGGCAATATTCTGTGGTGCAAAGACCTTCACGTTAAGTAAACCAACTAATTACATCTACAAGAAATATTTTCTTTTTGGTGTAAAATATCTTCATTGGTGACACTTTTTGCTTGAATTTGTATTTATTTGGCATATTGCTGAATCAGGTTTTGGGAAACTTGTTGCAAAAACAGAAACTCAAATAGTGTTGCATAACTGTAGAACAAAACAAACTCTATAGTGTTTTACTTTTTAAATCGCAAAAAATTAAGCCTATTTGAACAACAGAAGCAAATACTTGAAATTTCTGTTTCCCTACAGTTCCAGATAGCCATCATCTTTCAGCTTCTTACAGTGGTCTTCCACATACCAAAAAATAAGATTTTTTTTTCCTTTAACTACATGGAAATATCTCTGGCATATCTTTTGTCATATTCATCATTTAATTTCTTACCATTAAGCACCTTCAAAAGTTTCTCAAAAGTATTTACTTTTGCAAAGTTAATTAAACTAACTGAAAGACAATGTAGAGACATGAACTCCTCAAGGATTTTTAGCAAAAATCACCTTCATTCATTTGCACTAAGAAGATTTTTTTTGGGCTTCAAAAAGATAGATTCCCGTATTTCCATCAGACTGATATATCTTTAACCTACTTCATATCTCTTTTATTCTGTATCAATGTTTACTGCCACAGAAGTGCGTGTTATTATCCTGTGCTTACAGCAGTACTTGAATTGTAGAGAACAAGTTAAAAATACTGAGCCATCAAGACACCAACCTTGTGGGCAGGGTGCAGCAGCCATCAGCCGTCAGCCTGACTTGGGTTTCATAGCTATCCAGGGGGCAAACAACTTGTTGAACAGGAGGACATTCAACTGTGCTGCAATCCACACTGAACACTATGGAGGAAGGGAAGAAGAAAATTTCTTTTACTTATGCTTTAGAAGATTTTTGCAAATTGCTTCCTCATAAGCAACCACTTATGCATCATCTGCATCAAATCATCTTTTAAGTCAGAAAAATTATCCAAGTAATGCATGCTTGCTAGGTAACATTACAGAAAGACCTCCTTTCTCTTTAAGATTCACTTTTTAAAATTCTTGACTCAGGAAGCAATTGAACTAATATTAGTTAATAAAAAATTTATAAAAATTAGGCAATCAAACAATCATTACACCTGTGAATAATATTAGTTACTAGAAATACACTAGGTTACTGAAAATATATACTTCCAACAGCTTTTAAAACAGTAAACAATTGTTGGTTTTTTTTTCCTAATTAAAGGCTGTTTAAATAGCAAAATACTTGGGTTATAAGAAATTAAAAAAAAAGGAGAGATACACTATGGATTTATGTCTGCACATATAAAGTATGTACTTTAAAGACTATTCCATTAGGTTGTTTTGTTTGGGTTTTTATATATGGTGAAAATGAAATGCAAATTATCATATCTTTCTGCATTAATGATAAAGAATTCCACTTAACAAGAAAGACTGACCAACAGTTTTTAGAAAGCAACAAATGTTTAGAAATCCAGAAAAAAAAAATAAACAGGCTGAATATATATTTAATCCTTCTGAGTCATTCTCAGGAAGGCTGAAACACATCTTTATCTTATTTGGTCCCAAATCTTCCATGTTAACAAACAATATCAGCTCAGGTATTATCTATTTGCTACCCCTTATCATAATTATACTAAGAAAGTACAGAATAAAACATGGTTCCTGCTTTAAGATATGAGCTACCTTCTGATTGAGCAAGCAGGATGAATAGAATGTTATCAGACTGAAAATTATACAGTATGATATCCCTGATTAGTGATTAAACTTCACTTCAGTATTGACACTATCACAGTTGCTTACTGAAGTACTGTAGCAGCTTGGCAATGCTACACCACACTTCCTGGAAGAGTTGATAACCTTCAAAGGCCCATTTTCTGTCTTCTGGTCCTACATTTTTCCAGCTTGACGCTCAGCAGTACACAGCAATAATAACCAAATCAGTCATAATGAGACACCTCAGTCTCAGAATTACATGTGTTCAGCACATCTCTATTGCAGTGGTTACAGTGTGACAGTAAATAGCTCATTAACACTGAAAAGCAGCCCAAATAGTCTATTAAAAAGGTACAAACTTAAAAAAAACTACAAACAAACTCCAAATCAAGAGCTTTCAAATAGATTTTTTTATTATTATTATATTGTTAGATTAATCATAAAATGGCTGCGGTAGTACAGGACCTTTTGGAGGTTCCCAAGGCAGGCCATGTAGATCTGGCTGCCTCGGGCTGTGTCCAGGTGGCTTTTCAATATTCCATGGATGGAGACTCCGCTACCTCTCGGGGCAATCTGTGCCAGTGCTCAGTCACCCTCACAACAAAAAAGTGCTTCCTGATGTTAAGAGGGAACCTCCTCTGTTTCAGTGTGTGCCCCTCACCTCTCTGGTCCTGTCACTGGGCACCACTGAAAAAAAACAAACTTGGCTCTGTCTTTACATCTCTTTCATACTTTCCTCTCAGAAGAGTGATGAAGACAGATAAGAGATGCAAAATATTTGAAAGAGGAAAAAAGGTTCCTACTTTCTTTCAGGTTTAAACAGGTTTCTCAAAGTGGAAAAAGTATTGAGACAAACTCACAGATAATCTGAAAATATTGTAAGGTTTCAGAACAGTCTATAACTGAATTCTTCATTGCTTAAAAAGATATTTCCCAGATTAGCTGCGCTACTCTCCTAAAAAAATAAGACTGCAAACATTTGCCACTGAACTACTAGTGTCTTTTCACAGCTTGCTTTAATTCCAATAATTATCACATGTACATTTCATGAACAGGTTTATTATAAGCTGTTATTATATATTTTATCATAAGCTAAAAAAAAATTGTCTATTCTAGAAGCTTTAAGCTTTAAATACATAGTTTGACAAATGTGTCTTCGAGAACTCATAAACATGTTTCAACTTCCTACCAGTGAAGACACACCCAATCAACCTTTACTTACAAGTCCTCAGGAATTTTCTCATGCACTCAATTTGTATACAGTATCATCGGAGAGTTACCAATTTTTCTACAAGAATGTAACATAAACTCTGCCATGGTTGCAGACCCTGAGATATGTGCAATAATGTGCCACCTCCTTTATAGACTACAAAACCAAAGGTCTACCAAAGATCGTGTACCTGCTAATACCTAGGTGAAAATAACTTTCTGGTAGAATATGTTAACACAGTATATTAAGTGTATTAAGTTTCACCCTGGCATATTATGTCAGCTTTTCAACTAATAGAGTGTACAGTTTAGGGGCAAGATCTAAATAACTACCTAGGCATCTAATGATCCAGTAGCAAGTCAGTAATTACATCTCTGATGCAACGTGGTGGTTCAGTATAGGGTAAGACTTCAGAAGTTGCAGATTTCTGAGGGTTCAGTTCAAGGATACACAGTCTGCTTCTACAGCAGCTAAAAAGCATCACATAACATCCTCTGCTTTCAGTTCAGATGCATTTCAAGTGGTTCCTCAAGAATAACGTGACACAACACAACTACATGTGATAATGGTAGTTACGCTTTCTGCCCAGGGAGAAGTAGGAAGGAAGCATGAAAGTATTTCTCCATGACAAGGCATTACCCTTTTTACACTCCTTGACACTTCAGAATATATTACATACAACCATAACAGATGGCATTCCTGGACTTTGAATGCAGCTGTATCACTGCCTGAATCACTTTCTTAACTGCCCTATCCCAGGTATTTGCCAACATGGACCCCCACATGTGCTGGGTTTTTTTCCTCCCTCACCGTCAACTTAAAAACCCTTTCTCCAACTCCATTGGACATGTATCTGTAATTCTTCCTCATTCATTTTCTCCAGTCCTTCCCCACTCTTATCTCAAGTTCTCTCAACATCAGCTTTAACAAAGCATCCAATAAAACAATGCATGTACTATTTCTAGGAGCAACAGAGATTACAGAATTCCTCTTCTCTCAGCTATGCATAAAAACTTGATTTTGCTGACCCTTGTCCTTAAGCACAAGACTGTGAAAGTTCCAGACCTGATTTTCAATGCTGAAGCTGCACCAGGGTGGAGCACAAGTTACTTCCCTGTGCGTCATTACACGCTACCTACTAAATTTTTCTGCTGATCTCGGACTTTCCATCAAGCTCTGACTGCACAAAATTCTTCAAAGAAGTAAGCTGAACAATAACATTTTCTTTACAATTGCATTTAAAACAATATTTGGTAACAGAAAAAAGAGGCCATGCTGGAGATGAGTAAATGAAAGCTCTGCCAGAAAGATTTCTAAAAGATTGACAAATGATTGGTTGTTCCAACATAGGTTATGTCTAGTATGGTAGACATTTCCCAATGTGGGGAAGGATGTCAGAAACTAAAATATGACACTCCCTTTTACACCATATACAACAACAAAAAAAGTTATAAATAAAGGTACAACAAACATCTGTTGGACAACTGCCAAAGTAAACTATTTAGCTTGCTTTATTCAGAAGTTACAGCTAGAGTTCCTATCACCACTTCAGCAAAATACATTTTAAATAGATTTTAATTCAATCTTTAAATAAACAAAAATGATTTAAAAAGCATCACTGTTCATAGTGGTTTAGCTTTTTAGCCAAAGAGGCACATATACTCCCAAAAATCTCATTTCAGGTTATTTTTATTTTTACCATTAACACGTTATGCAGTTCCATTTGAGATTGCTCATTCAAACTATCTTTAAGAATTACTTTTTTTTAAAAATACATTTTAAGAACTGTAACTCCCAGCTTAAACTAAATGCAATGCACATTCACTAAATTCACTGCTCATGAATGGACAGTTACAGACAGCTTGTAAGAATAAAGGAGGTTGCTTATGGCACCAGACCAGTTATTTCACCTCTGAGTTTTGTAACTGCAGCAAAACAATGAGCAGGACATACTTATTCTCAGCACATACCACACTGTGATGAGATGCTTGGTGGAGCAACAGGTAAGAACATTTAAGATATATTACTCTGGACAAGCATTTGTCCAAATTTGGACAGTCCATACACAAGTATGACTAAGTTTCTTCATGACTAAGCTACTAAGTTTCTTCACTGTTCATTTTCACTGAATACCAATGCCTTTAATTGTATCCCTAAAGTAAAAGTCGCAAAAAAAGAAGTGGATCTCAAAATAAAAAAAGTTATTTTTATTCTAGCATTTAGTGTTAAGGAAACACTATTTTCTTTCAGTAACTCAGTTGCCAATCACAGCATTTGAACATATGCAGATTTCAGCAGAAGGTTCCCAACTCAAATGCCACAGTAAACTAGAGAGCAGTGATATCTTATTTAAGGAACAAAAATAAACACAATTTATGCTTTAATTGTGCAAGCACTTTATCTTGGCATAAGGCAGCACTGTCGTCACAGGAAGCAGTCCTCCCAGCTTCTGGCAATTTGTTTGAGGTTGGTCAAGCAGATAGAGAAGAGCAGGAAGAGCATTCTGGTAGCAGTACTCACAGAACTAAAGTTTTTGGGTCTATGGCAAAAACTGGAAAACATTTTTCTCTGTTTGACACGCAAATTCCATCAACTTGCTGACATATTCAGTAAAACTCGTGACATCAGCTCCACAAGAAACTCTGCATGAACACCTACCTCCCAGGCCTTGTACTGTCCACTATCCCATTTTTTTTTCCAGTAACATGGCATTTCAGTCATAATTCATATAGTTCAGTTCCCCTCCAACTCTTCTTTCCTACAATTCTTCAGGATACCAAGTCAAACTCTGAATACAAAAGGTCTATTCCAGGCCTCTCAATTTCTAACCCCCATTTGCAAAGCTCTACACTTCCCTTAAATCTCATTAGTTTCCTTCCCCAATCTCTTCAAAGCCTCTACTCTTCTATCCTCCTAACACACATCTTCATGTTTCCATTCCCATGTGCCTTCAACTCCTAAAGTCCCTATAGCAAAAAATATGAACTGCTTCAGAAAACAATATACACACAGTTACATAAATTCACTAATGTGATAGAAAATCATATTCAGTTTGAAGATTCTGTAGCAAGTTAAAACAGCCTTTAAGAAGTAACCTCCATGGGTAAGTCTGGACAGACTTATTGCAAACTACAAGATGGGCATTCAAATAACAGCTGGGAGGACATGATTAGAGCTAACATCTACTTTGAGAAAGATAAATAATCCAATGTCAGCAAGACAAAATTCAGTAAAGGTTTAATTAAGTATATATAGGAAGAATTAAAATGTAAAAATATAGTGGTTCAGAAGCAATCATGATACAAAAAGATCCTGGCATCACAGCATTTCACTAACTAGAAATAACTCTAGTAAAACAATTAAATCTTATTTAGAATTTTGCATGAGAGACAGAAAACAATCATTCTACAGTATTTAGTGCTGATGAAGACTCTCCAAAAATACTAGTCTGCTTTTGGATACCACATTTTAAAGAAAAGTGGATAAATGGAAAAAACTTATAGAAGGGAAACATAACAAAGCAGGAGTTCAAAGGAGCTATGTTATAAGAAATTACAGCTAATTCTAGATGAAAGAAGCCTAAGGTTGACAAAATGTTCCAAAAAATTATAGAAAAAATTATAGTAAAGACTTGTTCACCAATTACTCAGGACAGGAGAAAAAAAAGTCTGCCTGAATTTCCATACGGTGGGATTTGCATTGGATATTAGGAAAAAAAAAAACCACAAAGAGAAGCACTAGAAGATACAAAGACTGTACAGTCTTCTTCTGTGGAAGATTTAAGAAAATTTAAACAAGCATAGGAAAAGCAGAGTTAAACATACTTGAACCTATTTGCCTACATGATTTTGGATTATACCATTTTACATGCCTATTTTCAGCACTCTGTTTTCATTATTCATCTTTACCAAAGCCTGGATCAAAGAGTGCATTACATCTTCCACTTCACTTGGAATAATAAATCACAAGAAAGGGTGTTCTCATGAAATGGAAGATGGGTAAATATTGAAAATGTTGTAAAGTTTTTCAGTATGCTCCTCCATAACCATTTTGCTCTCTGGTTTTTAAGGGTCATCACTTGATAATCTGGAGAAATCTTAAGATAGAATTCATAATTCCCTGTCCATGCACAGGGTATATCTACTATGAAAAATCTTTGTATAACCTAAACAGTATATAAAGTATGTCACTTGCACTAGTAGCATTCACAGAAATGCAACATTCTTACTAGGTTACTTTTCCCTTGTTGCTGAGTATAAATTAATGTTTAAAGAAAAAAGACAGTAAAATTTATCATAATATTTTTTAATGGATACTGGCCACATTTAATAACTTAAATTTTCAAGAATCAGAATAATTCAGAGGCTATATAGGCTTTATTAGACATAATTATATAAATTACTTTGCTTGTCAGACAGAAAAACGGGAAAATAAAATTGTGTCTGCTTTTACCTGGTTTGCATTCATAGAGGTCACAGCATTCCCCTGGCTTTCCTGATGCCTTAGAAACCAATATATTCAAGTAGCCGGGTTGGCAAACCTTCCTCAAGCAGCCTGCAGGATTACACACACAACGGCTTGGGAGTGGACAGCATTCACCAGGAGGAGCATAACCTTCAATCAGGATGGAATCTTCTGGACAGCGAGGAGAAAACTGGACCTCACAGCGGGCCTTGGAGCAATCAGGTTTCTCTTCTGAAAGGGAGAGAAAAATCAGCATGCCATATGTGTCAGTAAAACACTGTAATAATAATGGCCTGTCTTCGCGAACGAAGATTTTTGGGAAAGGTCATTAACCCTTCCAGCCTGCGCAGTGGATTTTTTTTTTTTTTAGGTGAGACACAGCGTGCGCTGAACTGAGCCCACCCTTTAGTCCTGAGGTTCATCTGCTGGGGCCGAGCAAAGCTTGGACAGTGGCAGTGAGGTCCCCAGGATGTAGGTTTGTTTAGAGTGACCTTCTCTTAGGTGGATTGCCTACCAAGGCTGACGAGCTCCACCTGCCCAGGGGGCCGGGAATCGAACCCGGGTCGCAGAGGTGAGAGTCAGGCACTCTAACCACTAGACCACCAGAGGCCCCGTAAAACACTGTACTGAAGCTGTAAACACGAACTCAGCTAAAGCTCCCTTTCTTCTCTTCCCCCAAAACAGTAAAAAAAGGAAACAGCTGCTGCTGAACTGATTAGTAAAACTTATGGAATATACTTAAAAGAACTATAGGTATTTGCAAGATGACAGTTGCCTTACGAAGTATTTTACAAAATTCTAATTTGTACAGTGTGCGTGACTGCTAAACCCACACAGCCTCAAGAACAGCTGTGAAGCTACACGGTTGGCCGGGACATTTAGAAACAACTTGTCACATCATGTCAGCTCTGAAGTTCATACTTATACTTCAGTTTCTGAAGATTTTGGATTATGAGCAACTGATTTTAACTGATTGATTTATCAACCTGGACTGAGCTTTCACTTATTCAAAAAGCTAGTTAAAAGCTCAACACCTAATATATTTGCAGAGTCCATACATTAGCAGAAGAGGATTTTTTCTGTACACGCTCCCATATTCACATTAGAAGCATTGTTCCTATGTACTTTTACAGCTTTATCACTAAGAGAAGAGGTTTGACTATGGTGATAACAAGGTTTGATGATGATCCTTATGGGTCCCTTCCAACTCAGGATATTCGATGATTCCTCCATGTACAAGTATTTTATATTTTTTCTTACAAGTAACAAAGATTACTAGCTTATATGTGCTACTAGATAGAGTCATAACTCTTCTGTTATAGTTAAAAATCCCACTATTTCCATCTATCTTCAAAACAGCCTTGACCAGATATGTATTTTGCCCAGAACTTTAAATAACATTTGTAAGACCAATGTTTTTCTGAAACCTACCCTTATGTCTTATCTGCTTTATTAAACACTGTTCAGACTGAACATTACTGGTTAAAGAGGTTCACTGCAGAAAGCTGTAAAAATAATAGATAACATACTAGTTTCAGTATTTTACTGATAGTCTTTAGTTTACGGATATAACAAAAGGCTTGATATTTTAGCTGATAAAATTATTTTTGTTTTCCACTACATGTAGTTCAACATTTACAGAGAAGTGATAGAACTGCTGCAGTAGCAGCCCTTGTACTTATGATAAGACTCTTGATAGACTACTTGTACTCAAGATAGACCCTTAAATTCAAACTGTTCATTGATCTGCCTTAGCATTATGCATCCAGCAATCTTCTGATTTCCATTGTCATGCAGTCTCTCTCATGAAAAGACAAGTTTACCTACTATTTTTTACTTAACTGCAATCAGATATATGCACGTATCTATATGAAGATATGCATTTCCTTAAGGTCTGCTTGTACTTGATCAATGTAATTGATCAAATCCAAACAATACAGATACAATTTGACCAATGCAATTGGTCAAATACAATAAAAACTGTGTTTGACTGAATTGGCCAACTTTCAGAATGGCAAGATTTGTCAGAAATGCATGTCAAACTCTTGGAATTCTGACTATTCAGGACTCTAGATATATCTCTTTTGAAGACCTATGCAAAGACTACTGTTGGAGTTGGTAAGATCACTTAGCAAAAATATGAAAACAAGGATATATCATAACCAACATGTAGGACACATCACAAAAAAGAAGAGAGAAATTTAAAGTAGAGAACCATGACAAGTATTTTTGTATGAAATGTTCACTCAGTGTTTCAATTATCTTTGATAGTGTTTTCCATGTCATTGTGCCCAACGCAGTTAGTAGCAACAAAACAAATAAATAAAGCTAGCATCTCTTTCAGAGGAAATGGTTTAAACATAACCACCACCTTGCAAATATATGTTCATGTTTTAATACCACGTAACATAACACCAGTAGATATTTAGGAAACAAACTAAAGGCTTTCTTTTCAATCCAGTGTCACTATAACTGTTGTATTTCATAGTCCTGAAAACCCTACTAATAACTCCGTACTAATACTAATGTAAATATCGTGCTTCCAAATTACATCTCAAACTATGTACATGTTGAAAAATTCCCTTTCCAGCATACAAATGCAACTGAGCAACAGGAAAGTCAAATATATTAACCCAAGCTGGATCAGTCAACAGATAACTTTCAGCTTCCCAAACTCCAGCCCACAGCAGAGTCAAAAGCAGGCTAAGAAACTTTATGCATATCATGATTTGATTCTTGATTTAGATGTAATTTTCCTTTATGGAAAAGAGTTACTGGTTGAAATGATATGTGGTCAGCCATAAATTAAGTGTTTTCTTGTACACTCCCTACTTCATATATTTGAATGTAATCTTTATCTAAAACATGAAAATCCTGCAGCTCCAGGTCTGACATTACTATATGTTAGTTAAAACTTTAATCTGCTAGCATCATGCTACTGTAACTGCATCCTGAGTCCAGAACTCACTGCAATATAAGAAGGTGGGAGTTCAGTTTTACTGCATTTCAGTAAAAGCTGATGAGGGCTCCTCATTTTGATACCAACTTTGAATAAAAGAGACAATACTTTTAAGCAACCCATTCAGAAAAGTTTCAAGGTTTTTCTTCTTGTTATCTCAGCAAATGGTAAGATCTCTATCCACAGGGATTCATTATACTAAATTTGTTTACCTTTTCACTACTTCATCGAAGAAGGCATCAAAATTTAATTTGTTCTCAAAATAAATTACAAACATTAATACAGCCATAAATGTCACTGCTTTAGCCGGATTCCTGATTTAATTCCATTACATACAGCTATTTAAGATTTCATCAGAGAAGAAGAATTGTTTAATAGCTCTTTTTTCCTTTACTAACAAACAGTTCTAGCCCTTACAAAAGGGACACATAAGAAAACACATAAGAACAAAATAATTAAAAATGCATCAACAGCCTCAAAAGACTGAAAGGCAGGGTAATGGCAAGCTGCATTCCACAAAAAAAACAACTGTGAAATCACTTGCCAGTGATATTTCTGCTAACTTTGCCCCTTTTATACACCAACAGACTATTTCAAAGCAGCTTCTCAATAGACCAAAGTAGATTCACAACAATAGCCTACTGCTTCTCAAATAGAATATGTCAAATATGTCAAATAGACATACACTATGAAGCACTGACCTGTCTCCTAGATGTTGTTTTAAGCTACTGTATATTATACAAATCAGGATCTTTGAACCAATGTCTTCTAAGTCAGACAAGGCATCAGGACTTAAACTACATTTTATTATCTATTCTGATAATAAAATATAAACAAATACTACATGTCCCTAGAAACAGGAGAACTTTTTTTTCCAAAGTAGTGTATCAAACCTAAAAAATTAGACTTTTGAGCAAAGGGAGAACTATATAGATATGTGACTTACTATAAGATAAATTAATACAGCAAATATATACTCATTTCTGAATAATGAGGCATCTTAACAGACTACACTACAAGAAGATACATGTCACATTCCCCTCATCCATAGTGCAAATTCCTTCACAAGAACAATTTCATCCAATCCTAACTGCATGGAAAGACAGAAGAATTGTTATAGCAGATATCTGCTTTTGTAACTAAGAGGTTGTACTCAGGACACTTATCACACAATCTCCCTGCTCAAGCAGGGTCATCCTAGGGCACATTGTACAAGACTGTGCAATACCTCTTTGGACAACCTGTTCCAGTGCTTGGTCACAGACATAGTAAAGTTCTTCCTCATATGCAGGTAGAATTTTCTATGCATCAATTTCTGCCCATTGCCTCTTGTCCTATTGCTTGGCATCACCGAGCAGAGCCTGGCTCCGTCCTCTCAACACCCTTCCTCCAGATACTTACAAACATTGATGAGGTCCCTCTCAACATCTCTTCTTGAGGCTGAACAGGCCTAACTCCCTCAGCCTTTTCTCACCAGAGAGATGTTCCAGTCCCTTAATCATCTTTGTTGCCCTCTGCTGGACCCATTCCAGGAGCTCCATGGCTCTTGTACTGAGGAGCCCAGAACTGGACACAGAAATCCAGATGTAGCCTCCCAAGGGCTAATTAGAAGGGCAGGATCACCTCCCTCAACCTGCTGGGAATGCCCTTCCTAATGCACCCCAGGACACCATTGGCCTTCTTGGCCCACAGCTTGCTGTCCACCAGGACCCCCAGGTCCTTCTCCGCAGAGCTGCTTTCCAGCAGATGGGTCTCCAGCCTGTGCATGGAGTTATTCCTCACCAGGTGCACCCCCTGTGCACGGGGTTATTCTTCACCAGGTGCAAGATCCTGCATTTGCCTTTATGGAATTTCACACGGGTTCTGTCTGCCCATCTCTCCAACCTGTCAAGTTCCTTCTGAAGGGCTGCACTCTGACGTATCGGCCACTCCCCTCAGCTTTGTGCCACCAGCAGGTTTTCTGAGGAGTCATCTGCCAGTTCATCCAAGTCATTGATGAATAAGCCAAACAATACTAGGCCCAGTATCCACCCGTGCAGGACACCACTAGTGACAGGTCTCTAACTGTGCCACTGATCGCATTTTCTGGGATCTTCTGTTCAGCACCTCACTGTCAACTCATCCAGTCCACACTTCCAGAGTTTGCCCTAAGAGGTTATTGTGAGAAAATGTCAAAAGCGTTGCTGAAGTAGAGGAAATGGAAAAAAAATATAGAACTTAATCACATTTCAGTCTCTCCTTTAAAAAAAAATGAAAGCATTAACAAGGAGAA